AATTTTCAAGTTAAAAAATAAATTGTTTGTTTTACATCTGAGTGTGTCCGTAATTGTGCAGGATGCGAGCAATGATAAAAAAATATAAATCTACTATATTAACATACTCTTTTCACCATGGTAAACGTCTAATGGTCAATGACCAACGTTCGAAGTCTTTTTACGTAGAAAGTCCCTAACATTTGTAGCACTATTTTTTTGATTATTCATGTTGGCGTAACGACATGACACGATATAAAATAACCTTTGCCGTTTATGTGACAAGCTAGCCTTTACTACTCTTGTAATTCTGTTGATTGTAATGATGATACTGTGGTATTCAGTTATATGAGATACTTGAGTTGTTATTTTATAATCTGTTATCTTTTTAGGTTTATAGTAGTGGCAATATATGAAGATACATTCGTTATGTACATAATATTATACACCGATTTGTATGTATTATCTTTGCATAGACTATTTGCAACATCTAGCTATTTATCTAAATACTAATTTTGCAATCAAAACAATTTTTAAATAGAATTATTAATTGACATTTTATTTTTTGCTTATCTTAAATAACTTGTTATTTAAAATCACTGAACTGTTATTTCAATTTTTTAAATTTTGTTTAAATTGTTTATGTATACCGTACCCTCATACATTTTACAGAAAACTCACCTGTATCATGCAATTTGACTGCAGATAACTGGAGACTAAAAATTAATTTTTCATCTGCACGCTACAAACTAGCTCTACAAATTACAATTTAGATTTTGACTACCAAGTCTTAAATTTGGATTTTATAAAACAACGGTAGGCCAACTTGCATTAGTAACAATGAGTCCAACACAAAATTTCTGCTTCGTAACTTAAATCATAATAGTTTTTATTATTTGAAACAATACAATCTCCAGTTATACGATGCCTACTCGTATGTTAATTTTATCTTTTTTAAAGGCCCAGGTAAAATATCTTTTTATCTTTAACATACTTAGGGTCTTGGTCATGGACTAATTTCTGGCAGAAAGTCACCTTTCCTTATATATACTTGTCTTATTCAAGTACGCATTTATGTATGTGAAAAATTAGTGTGGGAAGAGGATGGGAAACAGATGAATTGAAGACATATTAATGAAAAAAATTACTGTCCAATTACCACGTCGTCTGCACGAATACGCAGCTTTTTACATAAGAGTGGATATCGTACTGTAGCTTATATGTACGAGATACTTACAACTCAGGTGTGTGTGTGTGTGTGTGTGTGTGGGTGTGTGTGTGTTACTAAGACACATCACACATAAGGAATAATGATAATACAATGTTTAGCAAGTAAAGGAGCTTAATACGTTAACTGCAGAATACGAGGTATATGAAATCTAAAAACAGTTTATAGGGGTACTGTATTTTATATATCTAGGTTGCTAAGGTATGTAAACTGCGCGCTGTACTTTCCGCAGTCGGAATTTACAATACGCATTTTATGCGTCGTACAAAAATCACATGAAGAACTAGAAGAAACATAGCAAGCTTCTAGCATATGTAAGAGTTATGTATCTATATTTTATTGTTTTGTATTTACTTTGTATGTAATTCCCATTTTTGGAAATAATCTCATTTTTTTACAATTCGAGAGTCAAAGATAAGCCTCTCAAAACTATGAAAAGATTATGGTCAAAAAAGTCATACGCAATCACAACGTAATAATACCGTAGTCATATAGCCAGTTATCTTTTATAATTTTATTTTCTAAATTAACTACGTCAACGGAATTCTGAATATTGATATTCATTTTATTTCATACGATTTTTAATCTTAATATAGGACTGTAGAAATAAAGTCATGAATCCATTATATTATAAAAATCTGACAGAAAAACAATAAATTATTAACAATAAAGTTGCAAATGTAATTTTAAAGTATATAATTATATGTATATTGTTTTTTTGTTGTTTTTCTGTTAATAAAGCCTGAAGAGGTCAGCAAATGTGCTCACAAAACGTTGCTGAATATAATTAAAATTAAGTGAATTTCCATCTCTCACCATTTCTCTTCTTTCCATTGTTACAAAATTTATCATTCAAGAAAACTGTTTTCTCTTTTTTATATTTTGAAATAAGATTTGTATTGAATTGCCACATCGCTGTAATTCCTATTTGTAAATTAATAATGGAATTAATTTTAAAATTGCCATAAGTTAAAGAAATATATTCTGAATTCTTATACTGATAGAATTGATATTATAAAACGTTCCTCAGTAAAAATTACTACAAAACTTATGATATACTCTGACTATAACAAATATCGCTATCTAGTATATTTCAAATGTGGAAAGTTTTACTGTGTGTAATATAGTAAAATTTACTAGAACCATAGTAGGTATAAATAGAATACAGAAAATTAGCTCGGTAAAGTTTAACATATATATAGCAAGTACTACCGATTTGGGAAAATAAATGAAAAAATATATTTATTCTGCCAATTGCGAGAATTGAACTACCATCTATTCACAGTTTCTGAAACTCATGGTCTGCTCAGTTTCTTGTGTATACATACTACGCAGTTTTAGTTTAGTTTATTTAGTTTAGTATTTAATGTCGGTGGCTCTCTTACTGACAGACCGATATGCCAATATATAAGCGTGATTTTGTCATGTACATAGATGTATATGGGGTCGGAGCTCTTCTGGACAAAATTTGGACTACTTTTTACATAGCCATTTTGGTCGCTTGTACGGAAGGAGTGACAGAAATCCTATAGTACCCGGAGTACCAATTCAGATACTGGACCTACAGTTTTATGTGGAATCCGAACCACTAGAGCCATGATTAATTTTGGCACATACACTTAAATAAAAGAAAGTTATTAAAACCTGCTGAGAATCGAATCCCGGACGTTCACATAGAAGAAATATGCAATTGTTATTGCACACGTGCTAGAAACCTCAACCTAACCCTAGTAATTTTTTATATGTTCATTGTAAAAATTGTTCAACTCATAATTTTTTCTATAGATTGTAACATATATAATAATTAATAATTATTATAACGATATATTTTATTATAGTACCTAATAATTTTGTTATTTATTGTAATAAATTTTTCAATACCATTGTATCAAAATTATTATGTCCATAGTAGGCATTAATATAAGTTTAATAAATTTAAAAATGACTCTAGTACATCCTACAGTCACTATGTTTTGTAGTAAATTTTACATAATTATAGAACATTTTATTATAACAATTATCTTAATGTATACAAAAATTTTTTCATTTCATTAAAAAATGATGCATTATTTTGAAACTACGATTTGACATAATGTAAAAAAAGTAACTAATTATTTGAATAAAACAGTATATATGAAAAATGTTTAAAGCGAATCGATATGGAAATATAGAATACTAAAGTTACGTTTTGGTCCCGATAAATTAGCATTTGTCGATGATTCTTAAGATCAACTTTTTATCTTTCTATTTTGCAGTAGTTATAAGACGACGTAACTTTTATAAAAATATATTTGATTTTCTGTTAGTGAAATTTTAATATTATAAAGATGTAATTCTATCTCATTATAATTAATTGGTAGAATCGACATAAATATCGAATGAATCGAACAAAAGAGGACTCGCATAGCAGTCGAGAAATGTTAACACATACTGCGTAGTGTGAAGATTCGGAATTATGGATTATTGAAAGAATTAAGTTATTAATACATTGAACATTTTTTCGTAAAATAGTCTTTATGTTTATAATTTTGCTTAGCTTATGAACATTTTTGAATAATTGTAACTCCACAACCAATATATTATTTATCTGTTGTTCTTGAGTGAGTGTGATTGACATTAATATTAAATTAAAGTTTAATATTAATGTCAATTAATGTTAATATTACAGTTAGTTAATATTAACAAAATTGATATATTTAACTAGGATCAGTTACAAAACGATGATCAATAAATTGTGCTACCTAAGCCATTATAATCAAAAATATGTTATATACACGTCTACTCGTAAGAAATTAAGAACTAGAAAAAGAGACTAAAGGAAGAACCTAACAGTTACTGAGATGTGGCAAAAGGGAGGTAGGAAGGGTTGAGGACAAGTGAAAGTAATAGATTGACATAGCGTTAAGGTACAAGGTTGAAATGCGTTATGAGTGGAAGTGTCCTAGTTGTGTGTCTCAGGGTTTCCTTCGGCGCGATGTCATACAGCGCGTGACCTTGACAGACAAGTTGGCCATCGTAGCGTCATCTCTACATCACTGGGTGAAGGGCAACTTTCAGGGTTAAAGATTCAATCAGCGGATTTGGCATTGATTGACGGTGAGGACACAACCAATGCAATAGCCGTTTCTCATTTGATACTCCAGTGATCTTGGTCTTCAATCATCAAAGAACAAGTCCTCGACACTTGTGTCTACGTTCTATCAAGTTATAGCAAATGTGAGGTCGCTGGCGATAGTTGATAGAGTTTTTAGCTCTAACTACCCGTCATAGATAATTAAGTTGAGAGTCGATAGAATCGAAAACGCGTCGTACGAGTCAAACCAATATTATTTTGGTTCAAGCATATAAATTGATTGAAAAAGACAAACGAACGTAACAATAACCCCAGTAAACGAGAATTTCACCTTCGTGCACAAAATCATTGTTGGCTGAGTCGCGCAGGAGCGTGTGCGTGGGGTTTCTCGTGCGCGAAGTTTTGCTGTTGCCTTTGCAGAGAGAGAGAGAGAGAGAGAGAGAGAGAGAGAGAGAGAGAGAGAGAGAGAGAGAGAGAGAGAGAGAGAGAGAGAGAGAGAGAAAGAGAGAGCTGCTCAGCGCGTGTCGTTCTGGCTGGTGGCCGTGGCTATGGCCTTAGAACGATTGCCCCTCACCGCTCCCCTCCAACTGTTCGTTCGACCCCCGCCTCCCCCACTGACGGTCGACGGTATGTGCACGCGCGCGGTCCGAAGTCTAACCGCTAGCTCGAGATCGAGAAAGACCGCGTCGGACTATCGGTTGAGCCAAGTGTGAGCAAGCGAGAGAGGGATCGCGAATAACGACGCGATGCTTACGCCGTACATCGTGTGCTTGGCGCATGCAGCTCTAACTTACAGACTAAAGTAGAGAGAGGGACAAAGCCCGAGTTGATCGAGTAAGAGGGAGAATGAGCTATGAACCTCTGTTTAGCCGAGCTGCTCATAGCTCCTACAATTGCAAGGCGCGACTGGTTGCCTCTATTAACGCACGTTTTCTCTTACATTTTGTTGACGCTTCGTTGTTTTTTAAATTTTTTATACCGAAAACACTACAATATCGCTGTCCCTCTCCTTCTCAACTGACTTTTTCATTGTCACATCCATTTCATATTAGTCTTGCACCCGCAATGTTCTCGAAGTATATATTCGCGCAAGCATGTAGCGCCAAAGAGGCGCGTGGGGGCGGCTGAGCAGACGACGTCAAAGACGAAGAGTACGAGAACACAAGAAGTGACGCAAGTGCAACGCGTTGTTCAGTGCCGTGTTGCAACGTGAATTGTGTTTACACGTGCGACTTGGGTACTCCAGTTTGGGAAATTGTGTTTGTGTTTAAAAACAATTGGTTTATCTCGACAACCATTTGCTTTAGTAATTGTCTCACTTGGCAGTCTTCACTCCACTCACAACAAGAGCCATTCGTATTATGAACTTGTGCGCGACAGTCCACCGACTTTGCAACTTTTGGTGTCTTTTGTTTCAAAACATTAGTTACTACCAGTAGTATAAGCAGCACTAGTTAAATAAGCAAAATACATGAACGAGCAAGTGCAGCAACGACTGACAAGCACTGACAATTTGAATAATCTGTTGTCATTTTTACTAATATTAATATTTATTGTTTTTTAACCTTGTGTTTCCCATTACTCGACCAAATACTGAAGTTTATTAGGCGCCTAGATTTTCAAATTGAGCTTTCTTTTACGAACACGACGGATACAAGATAAATTAGTTATATCCAAATACCAACGCCATAACTGCAGGTGAGCATAATAAAATATAGCGCGCGTGTGTGTGTATGTGTAACAAAGATTGTTAAGTTATGAATGCAGATGCTTTGAAAAAACATCCAATATATAGACTTAATTTTAAAAATTATAACAATAACAACAATATACAAGTACACACACACACACACGCGCGCGCGCGCGCGTATGTATATACTTCTATATTGTTATTGTTATAATTTTTAAAATTAAGTCTATATATTGGATGTTTTTTCAAAGCATCTGCATTCATAATTTAACAATCTTTGTTTTGCAATAAAAAATACCTCGGAGAATAATAAATAATTTCAGAAGATTTGAGTGTTTTGCAATCGCGGTCTCGCGCGACCTTGTCCTTGAGAGCGTCAAGAGCGTGCCGACAGCTAACACTTTACCGGACGTTTGGTTATACACAAGTATTCAAGTATCATATATGTTCGAAAGCGTCATTCGATGTTCTCCACGCGCCTGCTTTGTAATTTTAACAAACAGGATGAAATGAATTTTGCGATTGTACCATTTTTAATCTTCATTTGCTTTAGTGAAATTTTGTTTTTCACAAGTCAAGTTTCAAAACTAATTTTCGTAGAGTAAATGTAGCTAAACCTTCATTTGATTCAATTTCTTTATTATTCAATCGCTTAAAATTGTAAATCTTTCAAACAATCCTTTCTTTTTATATCGTTACTATAACATGACCTTAACAATGTTCATGCAACTGATACTAATATTTTGACAATCTCGAATAAAATTGATTAAATAAAGTTCTTAAAACGTACTTATTCAAAAAAAATACTTCATACTGTGTATCTCATGAAAGTATGTACATAGTTTTTTCTAAATTGTATAAATCTACTTACGTAAAACTTCGACACTTTTTATTAAAACTATATAGTTTTCATTCTCGCCTATTTGCAATTTTCTGAACCGTGCAAAATGATGACCTCGTTGTTGTAACAAATAAAAATATTATAGGTATAGATTATTTAGAATTTGAATACCTCAGCTACTAAATAAATTAGATTTTGAAATTACATTTTTAAACTATAACTAGCCTGTGATGCGGCCTTGTAAAAGTGTAAATAATAAAGTATAGAATTATAATTCAATATAAAAGTATATTCCAAAGTATTTTACTTCTCTGGAGAGAAACCATTGATTGTCGTAAATTAGTTCTATTAGGAAACAAAAATTTTTAAAAGATCAAGACTTTTAACTGTTGATAACAAGATATAATGTGTCTTGTAGCGCTCTTTGCACTATTTAGACCAAATATGTGCTTAAAAATCGTATTATAAACTTTACAAATGAACTAAAAAGTGACTCTTCTTGCCCTTGGTTCACAGTACACTATTGCACACGCTTGCGTACGCTCAGGCCAACCTTTTAAGTGTCACGTAGAAAAATATGATTCGATATATGTGCGAGAGGTCAATTTATTCTCGTATCTATTTTTTGCAAGGTTAGTCACTTTCTCGTATTACATTTGTTAATTTTTGTCGATAAACCTTAATAAAACTTTCATATAAAAATAATAAACAAAAAAATAAAATAATAAAATTTTTTTTAGATTACAATTAAATCGTACTTTTCTATACAAAAAATAGAAAGATTTCTCCATGTACAACAATTCATTGAGTAATCTATGCGTATAAAAATGTTGAATAAAAATGTTTGAGTTTCTGTACAAGCAGTTGATAATGCAAGTTTTGAATAATGAATTACTTAAAATGTCTTTATAGATAAAAAACATTTATCTTGGCTTTATATCATAGTAAATGAAGATAAAAACGATCGAAGTCAATGAGCAGTAAATATGCGTGATATGTACTAAAAGATATATATGACATTGAGTGAAATAAAAAAAATTTTCAATAGATACTTAAAAATTCTCATTATCGAAAAATTAAGAAAACATATATGATTCTCTCGAAAATTAGAACGCAAATGGTTATCATGGAGTGATTCATTTTTTGTTTACTATAAGATACAATATTATAAAACCCACATATTTAAAAAAATGAAAAGTCATAGCTTATTGAATTTATTAAATTATTCTAGTTTTTAATGAATTGATTAAAAAATAGCACATTGTCTAACAAGGGCGTAATAAATGTTTTTACATATGGCGTTTAAAGTGTTAGCGCGTGTTGAATTTCCGAGTGTCATGATAAGTATACTACATTTCACCACTGTAAACTAAGGGGAACCTCAATCGTCTTCGGCCCGAACTGTATGATACTGATTTTCCAAACTATCTTTTCGCACGAATGACGAAAATATAGTTTTCGTTAAGAGAGCGACCAAATAATGACGAAGATGTGATTTGAAGGCTACGGTGATGAAAAGTAGTATATTGACGACGGGAGGGGAAATGGCAACCCCTTTACATCTATACATTAGCGACCGAAGTGAAACTGATACTTTCCCTCCCTAGATTAATAATAAAATATTACTAATATTAAATAAACCTTCTCTATTTATACATAGATAAACAATTTCGTGAAAATTGCCCTAATTTGAAAAATATTTATAGAATACGCTTTTGATTTTCCGGCTTTTTGATTGCAGAAGGTGTGGTTCATCAGAAAATACTTAATGTTAGCTATACATATTCATTAATTTGGAATTTTATATGTGTACTGTAATAGATTATAAACCTATCTAGGAATCAAAATATCGTTCAGTAAATAATTGAAATAGTTTGATAGGTATTTTAATTTGTAGAATTCGAATCCGAATTCAGATTAACACCATAAAAAAAATTAAATTAAAAAAAAAAAAACAAGAATAATGTTTTTTAATAATTTTAGCAATTATATTGGAAAATAAAAGGATATGATAAGCATGCCACGTGATTAGCCCTAGTTCCTTTAATTGCTATGTATTCTATAGATTGATTAATCCTATTTGCAAGAGCGTGCGCGCAATTTGAAATTTCTATAAAACTTTCTCGAGTTAAGGCATATCATTCGTAGAATTATTCACCTAATTTAAATAATTTAAATAATTTGAACGGTATTGATTCGAGAGGATATTCTGATATTCGTATGAATATATTTATTTATTTAATAATCAAAAGCAATCTCTCACGTACATATATTGCCTTGCTTGAGGTACAATAACGAAAGACCTTGCAAAATTTGAAGGTTATGCGTGAGTCAAGCTTATGATTGTAAGCATTCTTTGAAAACATGGAATTATGTTGCCATTGAGGAAGGTAAACAAGCCTCTGACAGTTTGAAAGAGAAAGAAAAAAAGCAAACGTTAATACTCTCACTCTCATTATACAGAAATATAACACACCTATCATTGTTTCAGTATTCAAAATTTCATAATTTAATACTAAATTTATATATACAACATTGATATTAAAACTAGAAAAATCATAATTTTTATTGAATATATTAAAGAAAATATTCATGGTAATCTTAAAAACACAACAATATATTGAAAGTAAAAAAAGAAATAAGAACATGTATTATACTAGAAAGCGCTGTAATAGCTACCTGAAAAAATGTGTATTCACATTTAAATCATATGCGATACACAAATGTTTATTGAACTTATCTAAAAATTTTAGCTGTTCACATACCATTTATATTCTTGGAAAAATGTTTAAATGATACAGTTTGTTTGAAATGTGCAAGACCTCTTCAACTAGAGAGTGTAATAAAAACAATCAATTAAATGTATAAAATAAAAAGCTATAACTACAACAAATAAATAGTGACAACTTATAAATAGATCATATAGCTATCGACATGATGAAATGTAAAAATATGAAATGTCAAATCAGTAGAAAACGTCTGCATATTGATTTCATTTTAAATAAAATGTAACTAGAATATTTATTAACATTTTTATGCTATTTATTACCATTTTAACTATCAGTGTATTCATTATCAATAATCAGTTTAACGGTTGAAAATATAAGTAATTTAAATGTTTAAAAAAAACTAACAATAAGTCAAGAATTAATAAACGCAGATAAAAATTACAATCGTAAGAGTGCATTAACCCCATGCGATTGTCGAGAAGTGTATTAAGTTCAGAGTGAGAAAACTCAAGAGTAAACTTTCTCCGAGGTTCTAGCGAAAGTGAGAGGGATAATGTGCAAATTCAATTGCTCCCTTCCTTCTTCAATGACTGAGTTGGTAATGCCTCACTGCTTTCACCGCGCAATACGTATATACTAATGGTGTTGAGAAAAACTCGAAGTTCATCGGCACAGATAAGTGTTTCATGTCACGAGATATTTTTATATTATTTCAATAGATTTAATTGAAAAATAAATTCAAGTTTGCGAAATTGTAAGGTTTCGTATCTACACCTTCAGCTAGAATATTTTGCTATTCATTTTACTATAGAAAAAAATGAATTCTAATAGAAAATACAACTTGCATGAATGACTACGTTTCCATTTCGGTAATTTACATGATTTAACTTATTAAATGATTTTTATGTGAATTTAGTTTAGATGATGGATTATAGAGCACAAAATTCTAATTTCGAGGAATATGACAAAGAACTGTGAATAAGACTTTTGAAGGAACTTATTCTCTCTAGTGATGTATAGCACACTCCGCACGTTTGTCTTCATCGTCTTTTTTACAAATTCATTTTAATGCACGAATATAGATCAAAACATTTATTGGCGAAATTAAAAATTTGAAAATTTAATATGAATCAAATCTCATTACTTAATATATATGATATAACCGACCATATTATCTATTGGTAAATCAATATGCAGTTATGTTGATACTTATGATTAAAAAATATTATTAATGGAGTTTCACGTTTTTATCATCCGAAGTTTTATCTTGAAAAATCATTAAAAAGTTTAAAAAATACGATAAATAGTATAATATAAGTTCTAAAAATATTATAGTTTTCTATAACCATATACTTCACAATGTAAATAATATACTTATACACTTCGGTAAACGTGCACGGATGTAATTAATGAATATTCAACAACAAAAATTTCTAACACTTTAAGTAACTGAATTACTGTAATCGTAATAATCTATAGATATTTATATATATCCTTTATTATCTGTTTTGTTTATTCGAAGCTAAACTTTTGCATAGAACAAAATTCAATTAATTTTTCTATCACAAGGTAGCATTCGATTTTTATTTTGAAGTTCTTTTTTTTAACATCCCTCTATTTATGCTCCAGTGCTAATCAGCGACGGAAGCTTGCAATATGTTTGAGAACAAAGCACATGAAACTTTTTTCAGTGGTGCTTGTATCAATCAGCAGGAACTGAGAATCGAAACCCGGGCCTACAGGGTGTGAATCCGTCGCAGTACCGACCGAGCCATTGCAGGCCTCATGATTTTGAGGTTAATATGATTAAATCGACCAATTCATATTAAATTCATGCAAACTGTATCGATACATTTTTGAACGTTCAATCAGCTACGATACACATACACACACACAAACGCACATAAAACCACCTAACAGTTGATCATGTAACTATCTTTCAGACGATCAAATCACACAAACTGACTTTTCTTTGATACGTTCTTTTTTTATAAGAGAGAATAATAAAATAATCATTTATTTAATAATCATTATATAGGTGATTCTTAGCAATTACGATGGGCTCAGAGAAATCAGAGACATCAGACTGATTTTTTTAGATTTTGCACACTTGTTGTATTGAAGTAAAACTTTTCCGAAATTTTCATTTAGAAATGATAGTTATATCAAAACTTATTAGCTAATAAGGAAAAAGATAAAAAATTTCCAAAAGGCTATATTTCAAAAACTATTAAAGATATCGAAGTCGAGCTTATTTCAAAATACGTGTCACATCTTAATTTTTCAATTCTTTAAATAATTATAACTACAAATAGTATTTTTTTTTTAAAGTTATCAATTTTTATTTTAAACATTTGCGAATAACTCAAAAAGTAGTTTTTTTTGTAATTCTTGTTTTAATGGATTTCTGAGGGTTTTTTCAGAAATTATATATAAAAATAACATGCTAGACATACTGAAAGGCATGGAAAAAAATCAACAACAAAAAATGAATTTTTTTCAACTAGGAAAGAAACTGTTACATATGGCAAAAAATCAAACGATTCTAGATGAATGATTTTACTGCTGGAAAAACTAAAATAAAAAATTGTCAAACTGTAATAAAGCATAATGAAAATTTAAAGTTTCAATGGATAGAGTACATAAATACAACTATACTTCAAATAATTTTCAAATAATCCATGATTCAAGATAACTTGCATAAATATAATATTTTAGATTTTTTCAAAAAGGATCAACTTTCAGGCAAAATCACAAGGAATAAAAAGTAGCTAGAAGTCATCAGAGAATGTGCAAGAATTTTTCCAGAACTTTATGTAAATTTTTTAAGTATTGCAAAAAGTTTACATAAAAATTTTTTAAAAATATTACTTACAAAATTTGAAAAAATTCTAGTGTACTCCTCGATGAATTTTATTGTAAGTACTTTTTATTCTAAGCATTTTTTTGAAATAGCTCTTAATTTTTTAAGCTGCAGTGTCCTGAAGTTTTTTAAAAAATTATTCTCTTCGGACGACATTTTGAAAATTGTCCTATTGAACTTTTCATTCTGAACCCCACCTATCTTTAAGTTTAGAACTTGATAATACTTTTCTATTCATAAATAAATGTGTATATTACCGATTTCATAAACAGATTTTAGATTATAAATATTTTTTAGTCGAAAAAATTGTATTTTTTTGCAAAAATTGTTTATAACGTTTTAAATATTAACTTTGCAATCATTTTGATATCATATTCTGAAAGAGCGTTAAATTTCACGTCGAATATCATGTTTCTCAATTCTTTTAAATACAAATATTATAAGAAAACAATCTAATAAAAAATCATTGAAAATTTAGGATATTAGATCCTTAATGGGTTAAATTTCGATGGCGTTAGAATAATTTAAGTTTGCTGAATATCTTTGATATTCATTAGTATCAACAATTTAAATAATTATTATTGATAATGTTTATGTATTTATCTATGGAATATTTTTTAGCCATTTTTTAATTATTTAGTATCTAATTATCTATTCATATTAACTTTATATAAATGGATTTAAATTATTTCAGAAATCAATCTCTTACTCAAGTAACTCTCATTATCTGTTACTTTAATGTTTCTAAATTCAAAAGAATGATTCGTGTTTATGCAATGCAAGGCTAGCACTGATTTTTTATCCAGTTTTTACAATCTTTTTCGCGCTCACTTATTCTAATATTTAGTATTCTTCCTGTTTAACCGAAATACACCGCATCGTAATCAATTGTCAAAGGTGTGAGGTGGTGTATTTCGGTCAAAAAAGAAGAATGCTAAGTATTAAAGTAAGTGGGCACGAAATAGATTGTAAAAACTAGATAAAAAAATCAGCGTTAGCCTTGTAATGCATAAACACATCATTCTTTTGAATCTAGAAACACTAGAGTAATAGATAATTAGGGTAATTTGAGTAAGAGATTTGTGAAATGATTTTAATTTCTGAAATGTCTTAAATCTATTTACATAAAGCTAATATCAATAGACAATTAGATACTAAATAATCAAAAAATTGTTAAAAAAATATTTCATACATAAATTATCACATTACCAAGTTATTATTTAAATTTTTGACATGAATGAATATCACAACTATTGAGAAATTACTTAAATTATTTTGATGCCGTCTAAATTTAACGCATGGTATACGATTGATACTCTACTAGTTCTAATGTTTGTATATTAAGATATTGCCGTTTTACCAGTTGTAGAACAAACAACTCTTCTAATGTATTGTTTTCTGTTGCGTATTATTGTATTCCTTGTATATCGTATAGATCGACATTGATCGACGATTGGATCTGAAGTGGGTCGAGAACACTTTCGACAAATCCAAAATGACCGAAATATCGCTTTAATAGATTAATTAAATAAAGCATATAAGTTGATGGAAAGTCATTCATTTCATTTCCGTTTTCAAATATTAAAATATTTCCGTCATCAGAGTAATTACAGCTTAATAACTTTTGTTTTAAACAATTGTCATATTCAATACAAGGATTGTCGGCATATAGGTATATATAAATCTGGTTAGTTTTTTTTTTTTAACTGGATAGTTCATTCGGGTTAGATGTATAGTTTAAACCTAAAGTGATTTCCGTGAACAATAAATACTGCATTTTCTTTGTTTGAAATAATATGTTTTTTGTATCATATTAGAGGGTCGAAATATATATGGACACATGATTATTAGTTTTCAAATGAAACCAATATAACAGTTCAATTAATTCTTGCATTATACTATCATGAATATCTATCAACTTTTATATTACGCAATAAATAGAGTTTATATTCTTGAATTCCGTTGAACTGTAGCCAAAAGAAAAAAAATGTTTTCTAAATACTAACGTTTGTTTATTTAAAAAAGTGGTTTTTATTATAAACTTAATTGTGCAAATTCGTCTTTTCATTTAGAACAAATATTTTAAATAAGAATCAAGTATATCCTTAAAAAAAAGCAAAATAAGGGTAGTGTGATTCAATTATATGACAAAGATATTTGTGTAAAAAAATTAAAATACATTTCAAGCTTTGGAAGCTTATCTGCTTTTTCAAATTTTATTCAGAATTGAGGAACAAGATAAATATTTGTTATGAGAGATATTTTTTAATTTAATAATTTAGTACTTTTTATTAATTAAATTATAAATTAAACAATTAAAAATATTAATTGTTAAATATTAATTAAACAACTTTTTCACGTGAAAAATTTTAACGTTGTGGCTCTATCTCAATTGAGATTGCAGAAACACATAAGTTCCCTAACCTTGTTATGCATTTTAGCTTATACACGTAGTAATCTTCGACTACCTTACTACTATTCTCAATATGTAGTGTTCGTATTCAACAAGTAATCGAGAAGAAATTCACTGCCAATAGATTTTCAGCAATTTTCATTACATATATATTTTTTCAATTTTTGTAAAACTATATATATGTCACATTAATCTAAAAGTGCTGCCAGATAACTGACGAAATGCTTCCTTGAATATCTCAGGAAAATTAATGTTCATCTATTATTACTCTACAAAAAACAATTTAGTTTATAACAAAAAAATAGAAGTTTATTAAAATAAAAGTATTTTAAAGCAGGCAAAATAATTTATTAGGAGTGAAGCGAAGCTCCTTATCCCTAACTCCGAATGGATTTTCTCATTTTCAGCACTTATCTTCTTTAAAGTAGTATGTAAAGGAGAATAAGGTATTATATATCTGTCGAGCATTTCAACTAAAGTATTTGCAAATTTAAAAAGCAATGAAGAATATTTCCTCTCATATTAAAAAATGATTCAAAGTATATATATTTTAAAAGTTCAGCATAGTTAAAACCACGGTAAACTTTTGGTAAAGTTACCGAAAGTTAAAAAATATTTTAGAATGATTCGAGAAATACAATGGGTTAGATACTGTTTTATGATATCTTCCTCACTCGATAGTGATAAACGTAAAATTTAAAGATCTTGAATTAAACAAATTTTAGAATGTTATAAGAAAATTGAACTCGCTCAAGCTTAAGTGTTTAAGTAAAGATTATAGTAAATCAATTATAATTACCTTTTCAGAGGCAACAATAAGAGTCATAATAGTGTTATAGATTTTCGAGGCCACTGATTATGTATCTGATATATCGAAAGTTCGAAACTCAAAATATCCGATTCAAAAAGAAAATGTTACTCTTCTTTATTTTTGAAGGTTCGAGTTCTAATTTTTTTTAAATTTATTTTATTTAACGTTGCATCGACAACTTGGCCATTAGCGACTTTAAATACATATTATAATAGTTTTACATTAGTTTTAACTAAATATGTACAAGAAGTATAATAAATACATAAAAGAGAATTGTGATTACTACATAATACAAATAATATTATCTTATATTTTATAAATAAGTTTGATGTCTGATAGGTAATTTATCTCTTTAGGAAACATCTGAGGATCATTGAGCATTTTCTTGACTCTGCTAGGTAGATTATTTTTACTTCTGTCTTTAGTAAAAAAAGGACATTCAATAAAAATATGTGGAATCGATATTATAACTTTGCAGTGATCGCAATTCAATCGGAGCATTTTTTCCAAAATGTGTTGATGCGTTAATAAAAAATTAGATTCTTTCTATTTATTTATCATTTCAGTAAAATAGCTTTAGACATAATTTTCTGTGTATTTCTAACTAGTAATAGAGTCATCTACTAGACGTCGATTGGTCGACTTGTTTGACTAGTTATAATCGATTTGTTATATACTTGTAGTAGTTTTGTATGAATAATTTGGATAAGACGATTTTTAGTGTATGGATTAAGTAGTTGCTCGAACATATGATCAGAATTGACATAAAAAATAACATTACTGTATCCTCTTGATTTGGTCAAATCAAGTGCTCTGAGAGCAGAGATACATTTTGCTTCAGTCTCGGAATAGGACCTATGCAAAATGATCTGAATTTTGTTTTTGTCCTGAAAGATTATTCCTGCTCCAGAACCTGAAATATTTTTAGCACCGTCTGTATAAATTACGTTAGTTGAATCTAGAAGGGGATTTGAGTTGTGTGCTTGGTTCGAGATTTTCACAATATTACCTACTTCAACCAGATTAATTGGATGGACTTTAGGTATGGTTTCTGGTATTTCCATATCGAGTTCGATAATTATTTTTCCAATCTTTTGGCGAACGGTTGTGGGTAATATTTTCTGTTTACATAAAAATTATTTTCTTCTGTGAATATTATTCTAGATGCAGGCATGAATGATGTCACTGAAAGTTTGCAAGCATATTTATAAATAAGTATTTTTCTGCAATAGCTCAGTAAAGGTATATTTGTTTCCGCTAGTATGCTATAACTGGGGCTTGTGTGGAAAACCCCTACCGTAATTTTGAGTCCTTTTATTGGTCTCCATCTAGAATATGTTTTTGTGGAAAAGAGAGTTCTATTTTTATAAATAATTTTTGTAAAAAATATTTCATACATACATTTATTGGATCGAGACAGAATTCTAATGCTAGTTTATCAATATCAGTATTACTGCGCGCTTTATCAACTAGATTTAGTAAGCTTAAGTAGCTGAGAGGGTAGTTGGAAACTGTGTTTTCTATAACTTCTTTAAGTGGAAGAATTTTCGCTTCAAGCAAAAGAGATTCCTCTGATTTCTGTTTATCCACTTTATTTTTTTAGTAGGGCTGTTTACTTTTTTGAGTTTTTTAGATTTTCCGGTCATGTCAGAATTATCAGTTGTATACGAATTTTCATCTAATGACTAGACTTACTCCGGAGCTTGAGATATACGTACCATCAGATAAGGCAGTTGAGACAGATGATTCAGTAAGCGGACGTTTGAAAGATGATCGAAATCGGAGCGAACAGTTGTTGATTGCTTACGTTATTTATAAAAGTAGTGGGAGAAGGTATTTCTGTTACAAGCAGTTCATGATTTAGAAAAACCTCTTTGTTGTTAATTGAAGTAAATTCATTTGCTTTAGGCGTTAAACTTACTAGAGCCGGCTGAGGAATTTTTTGGTTGAGTTGAGTTTCCTAACATTGTTTAGCTACGTGGCCCGCCTGTTTACATAGGAAACACTTAAGTATATCAGTTGAAGCATATATCCAATACGTAGTGTTGTCTAATTCTATTTTGAATGAGTCTGGAATATTTTGAATACACTTGTCGTGTATGTTAACTCTTGATTGAGTTAACATACAATTGCACTTGCGTAGTTGAGTTGCGTTGATTGTTGACTCATCTGATGTTGGCTCATCTCGTTGTGTGGAGTGGTTTATTAACCTCTGTAGTCAAAAATTGACTCACAGCAGATTATTTCGTAAATTCATAATATGTAATGAGAGTCAGAATTGAGTTACATGAAATATACTACACTATCGAAAAGAAAAGCACTCGCGATCACAACGTAATAGAAAAGGTATAAACACGTCTGACCTGTACGGAGACTATGAGTCGACTGAGTTCCAAAGTGTCTTAAATCATCAAGCAATATATTAAAGTAGAAATATAAAATTTGTAAATTTTATAAAATTATTACATGTTACATTAAATCCATAATTTTTTATTTTAATAGTAACAAAAACACTCAAATATAGAATAGTAGTATATTTTTTAAAGACACTACACCTGAATTTCATGAATGGAATTATAATTTGTACGCTACGGAATTTATTTTATAAGGATCTGGAGTTCCAAAGTTTAAAATACTCGCATGCTTCGAGTGAATAACTAGAAAAATAGAACACTGTTTGAAAGGCTTTTCCTCCTAAGAGAGTTTACTCTTACAAAAACAAAAAACTAGACGCATAGTAATTAATGATATAAATGAGATAAACTCAAAATACTACAAATTAGAGTTTATTTAAAAATTTGAAAATAAAAAATATGGTAATATCTTTATTAGAAAATGTTTAAAAACACGATAAACATCCTTTGACTTTGCAAAATACGTGCGCTCATTGTGACTGTTGAAAAATTATTTGATCATTCCATCCTTACTATTGAAACAATTTGTTCACCCCTGAGTAGTAATTGTGAAATGTGCCGTTCCAATGTTTCCATTCGTTTATTCTTCTTCACAACAGTCATATGATTAGTATTTGTCTTCGTTATTATTTTCTTATGAGAGTCTCCTGAAAAAGATAAGCATACCAAATTTCTGATTATAAAATGATAGTATAAAATAATGATACTGGTATAAAGTGCTAAAATTAATAGATTAAAAATGTATAGACTAGTGAAATAACACTGCCAATTGCATTAATGGAAATTAATTTCATAAAAAGTATAGTAATTAGGTATATGATGTGAAACGTATAATGATGAGACATAAAATACACGCTTTTTCAACAGAGAATATAAAACGTTTTGCATGTTTCAGTTCTACAAAGATATTTAACTTATGTATAATATGTAAAATAAAAAAATTATAGGTATTTTGTACTAATCATTTTCGAGCATCTAGATCAATAGAAACTATCATAATGTACATTAATTCAAACATTCTTTTAACGCTCGACCGATTGATAACATTCTAAATTAAATTTTCGGAAATATCTCATTCAAAAAAATCTGATTTCAAAATATTTGTACAAAATAATCATTTAAAATATCAGATATTTAACTTCTCCATAAATTAGGTGATTATAATCGCCAAAACTGCGTAATATGCTAAAAAAGAGCTTTTAGAAATGCTTGCACGTGTACTAGTAGTGTAATCGATAAGCTACTCAAGGTCGGTGCTTGACTTCACAAGACCCTCACAGTTTTACCATGCTTAGAAATCAATGACCTTCCTCCCCACTCTTCTTAATTCCTCAGATATTACCACAGTACTACAAATAATTTTGATTAATAAAGACAGAAACAATTTTTCGGAAAAGACTAATAATAATATTTCAGAAATATCTTGCAACATTTTACTGTTCATAGTAGTCGTTTCATTTTATACAGGGAATTAACAGGCGTTATAACCGGCAAGATCACAAATAATATAGTGACCGCATACTACTAGAGCAATGGTTTTGTTTATGTTGTATCAACCAAGAGTTATTCCTAATGAAATATCTGTTTTCATTTCAAATTAATCAAAAATTTAGTATATCTACACAGAACTACTCATGGTGTAACGAAACTTTATATTAAGCAAAATGCAAACTTGTCATTGCAAATTTATCTTGTCTTGTCACTATTTTCATTCATTTTTTATCTACTAGCCCAAGATTGGCACAAGAATAAAGAAAATGCTAATGAGTTGAATCTTTAACAAGCAAAATCCCTTTTTTGTGCACATGATTTTTAGCGCACAACGTCAGTCGAAAAAGATAATCATTTTCTTCTAAACTCTCATATAGAGAATTTTGGAACGCTTTTTCATAATCTGATATTACCTTTACATGAAAATGCCAATTACTCTTTAATTTTTACGTTTAAACAAAAAAAAAAACCAATTTTTTTAATCTCTTTGTTTAAGTCGGTTTTTTCATATTGCTACATTGAAACAAGTATGTTATCGCCTGAAAGCGTGGTTTGGATGTCTGAACTATCTGAAACATCTAGGGAATATTTTTTTGCTTACTCTAAATAGCGGTTTTTTGTGATAGTCTGATATAAAATTTTATGATTTATTTACTTGAAAAGTGTAAATCATTTTTTGAAAAATAAAATATTCGCCTGACAAATTCTTTAAATATTCACTCGAGTTTTTTTTTTACTAATACTAATTATTTTTTAAGTATAAAATTGTTTTGCACAGATGGTACTTTTAAAATAATATAAAAAAGTTATAACATTTTTATGAAATAGTTATGAAATCATAATTCATTAATCATTACACTTTGCATGTAAACTTTTCATACAAGCCTCATATTTTATCCTGACTTGAATCGATAGTATAGAGTTATATATATATTTGAATTTCACCTGCACTTTTTCTAACAATTTTTCTTGTCCACACCTGCATACAATCTTCCAGTGCAAGATTCCAGTGAGTGTCAAAAGCAGCGATGTAGGCTTCGATGTGACCTCCAATACCATCAACGCTTCTGGTGTGAATCTTGAATTAGAAAAAAAATCGTTTCAGATCTGAAGTTACGCTCTTCATAATCAAAGGTTGCAGCTGCGGTACACGCGACTATAGAAAATAGTTTTATTTATGGAGATTTCCTCTGTGTGTGTGTGTGTGTGTGTGTGTGTGTGTGTGTGTGTGTGTGTGTGTGTGTGTGTGTGTGTGTGTGTGTGTGTGTGTGTGTATTATTATCATCGTGATTTTAATATATTCCAACTTATTATATTTTCATAAATTCAAATAAAATATAGCGTTGTTATGTGTTTTTTTTTATTAACAATTTAATTTTCGCAATACAAAAGATGAAAAAATTTTTTCCTAGAAATTATAATTTTTACTTTTCATCATTATTCTAAGAGTAAAAAAGAACATGTTATATTCCAGACAATTTTTTAAAATCAGCTCTAGCACACTAGCTGTGGGGTAAAAAAAGTTGAAAACTATGTATTTAAAAAGAAATCTAAAACAATTCCACAGTATTCCACGTAGAAAAATGAACATTTTTTCTCTTATAAATTTTTTCTATTACTTGAATTTAGATAACTGAAAAGTTGTAAAAAAATGTTACTATCCGGGAAAAATACTCGTACGTGCGTCAAATTTGAACAAATATTTGTTGATAACTGATTTTAATAGGGCTTCGAAAAAGCTTTAAAATTATATGTTTAAAATTTTTTTGCTATTACTTTTCGAGAATCAACAAGATCAGACAAGAAATTTTAAATTGTTCAATCTTGAATTTTCGTTTGTAAAAATTGAAAAAAAAATTTCATTGTATTTACGATGCTTATCATTTTAAACTTCGTAAAACAGTTTTCAAACGCGCTTCTGTCCATCTTTAAAGATTGATTTTCACTAAATATATAAAACTTAAAAATTTAACTAATTTTGCTCGGGGTTAAAGTACGCGAATAGCAATATATATACTTTTATAAAACATGCAATTAGAAATAAATACTTTTTAAAGATGTTTCTCTTACATTGTAAACTCTTATGAAAAAAAAAAATATTCTTTTTTCATCGCGAGAATGATGAAAAAAGTTTTCCTTAACTTTATCTTTAATCTCTAAATCGCAGATGAATGATCTATTTAATCATCTAATATCTAGTACATATTTTTAAGGGCTATTAATATTATAATCTGGAACAGTGAAAATAATCACACACAACTGTTTAGATATTTATTACGTTCGTGAAAATAATACAATTTTGAAAAATGCACATGTGTATATATATTTTTTCGTTATTTTATTTTAATATATAATTTCTCTCTTTGCTTTGGGTACTAGTAGCTGATTTTCTATTTGTAAAAAAACCAAAACATCTCTTACAAGTAATCTGGAAACTAAAATGTACTTGTTCTAAATTCTAATTTATTATCGTTAGATCATTCAACGATAAAAGACTTAGCATTTCATGTTATTCTTCTTTCATTTTTTGTTCTTTATTCTCCCTTTAATGTGTTAGCAAATGTACATTTCGTTCAAGATGAATTACCGTTTAGACAATTGTTAATATTCGTTCGTAATAGTTTAGTTCGTTATTGATACCAAATTAAATAGTATATAAAATATCCCCTTCCCTCCCATACTTTTCAAGAAAGTAAAACTTACATGTGAGTAGACTGCCGCTAATACTTAGAGTCTAGAGAATGCTTGGAAATTAAATTTGTAGCTGCTATCAAGTAAAAGATAAAAGACAATTTTCATTACGGCTACAAAATGGCAATTTTGAATAATATAATCTAATATAATATAAAAATAGTTTGAAATTGCCGATTCATAGTCGTAATAAAAATTGTCTTTTAATTTTTACTTGGTAGCAGCTTCAAATTTTATTTCCAAACAATCTCTAGGCTCTAAATGTTGGCAGCAGCCTACTCGCATTGAAGTTTTACTTTTCTTGAAAAGTGTGAAATGAAAGGAAGAGGAAAGAACTGTACCAGGATCATGAAAATTCATAGTTTATACGGGTACCGACATTACCAGCCGACTCGCCCAACGTATAATTGATGTCATTGATGCACGTATGACTAATCTATTAGACCCCAGTCCCATAGCTACGTATGAATGCGGACAGATACGGACGCGAATCGCAACTCTAGTGACATCACTAAAAATATCTAGTTCGATTATTTAGTACCAACACTACCGGTAGTGAGCAAAAGTAACTGTTGTTTAAAACTGTAGCGCCGAACGTACCACATTTAATGTTTAAATGTCAGGTCTACAATTTACTTTTCAAATTCTCATGAATATTGCTTATTGATGAGTATGCTAATGTAAAAAAAGCTTTTGGTGATTAATACATATCATTTATATATATTTTCTTCTTCTTCTCATTTATTCAAGTACTTCCATAAAATTAAGGCCTAATTCCACTAATTGTAGTTGAAAGTTTATCAATTCTCTATCATTTGCCATCTTATAGACTGCAATAATGTAAAGGTTAGATAAGCATTCATTAAATGTGGTACGTTCGGCGCTACAGTTTTAAACAACAGTCACTTTTGCTCACTACCGGTAGTGTTGGTACTAAATAATCTAACTAGATATTTTTAGTGAGGTTACTAGAGTTGCGATTCGCGTCCGTATCCGTCCGCATTCATACGTAGCTATGGGACCGGGGTCTTAGACGCTGGTTTGTAACGTATAATACGTGAATCTGTTAGAAGAATTTTTCGGTCTTGAAACAAAATTAAAGGAACATTATTGAAATCATCTTTGACGAATAATTCAAAACTACATCTATCGATCTAAACCTCTTCTCGATCGTAAATGGTATTTTAAACTTTCAATTCGACTTATTGCAAATATAAAATTATCGAATGCATGAACATTAAAACAAAGAATGAATATCTTTCAGCAGAGCCCAGAATTGCCATCTTACTGTATAGATAGTCGCGCGCTACCTCTGCTTTGTCACTATTTCGTGTCTACTTGCATGCTATTCGCAACCGCGAGTCGTGATATCAATCACACACGCGCCTACACGTTTGCCCACCAAAATTGTTTTTTGAAAAAATTGACGTAGACATTTAAGTCTTAGTGCAACTTTTTCTTTACAAATAAACGTGAGATTCATAAAGAATTATTAAAAAAAAAAAAGAATTTTAGAAATACTTTTAATAATTATTGTTGAAACTTATTTCTCAATATCGATCATGTCATTGCTTGAACAGTTTAGAAGACAGATAATTCTCACAATTCGAATTTCGAAATTACTTGTTTTCTAAATAAAAACAATTAAAGTAAGACCTTTTCTTTTAAATTTCCATTTTCTCACGCCGAGGAAAACTGTAGTTATGTAAAAGATATATAGTTACGATAAATAAAGAGAGAAATTACTAGAAATTACTATAATTGTCAACTTTTCTATTATAGTGAAACATAATCGTTACATATAACAATACAAATTGTTACCAAAAATAAAAAATATCGTACATTTTACTCTAATTTAAAAACTATACAAAAAGTTAGTCTTAATGTACTCTTGCAGTATTATCATGTGTATCAATATAATTTATTATATTATTATTGTTGTTTACTATTTTCCACTTTACTAATCAATACAATACAATCAAAATTATTTACCACGCTAACGGTTTTCTTCGATGTACTGTTAATGGTTGGGCCCACGAGGAAAATTGAAAAAGAAATAAATCCAATCATACAAAGAATTTTTTTTTTTTGAATAGCATAAGTAATTATTTCAGTTAATCATTTATACCATGATGTGGTTACTTATTCAATATTTTTGCTTGTTTTTTCATACCACATCATGAGCAAAATTGTGCGAAAATTACAACTGAATTAGCGAGGAATAGTTTAATCATTGTAAATCGATATTATATCGCCATCCAGTCAAAATAATTTTTTATCTGCTTATAGTTCGATTTTATCTATACTTAGACATAGAAATTCTTTTAAAATTTTGTCCTTAATAAGTTCAATATAAAAATATATTCGAAATGCTAGTGATAGGATCTTTTCATTCTCATGTAGCTTTTTTTACACTTACATTAGTTACATGTACGCAAGGTTATTTATTACTTACGTGTAAAGTGTATGCGAGGATAGAAAAACTTTCTCAAAAGTGTCTTCTAAAATACACCTTTATATAATAATTATATTATTTTAAGGAATAAATGATCGAATACGAATATTAAATAGCTTTCAATACAAGGGAGAAAAGTAATACGACTTTTAATATACTAAAAAAAACTTTCCTGATTTTTCAAAATTTTATATAGATAATTATGCAAATTTTAACTTTCGATTAATTTGTCTAGTCTTATTCGGATTTATGCACACAAAAATTTAGGTAAATTTGATGCCTAAAAAAATAGAATTGTATTTTCAATCTCCTTCATCGTCTGGAAAGGCATCAAGTTAGCCAGTTGAAAAAAAATTAAATGAGAGATATTTAAATGTAAACGAAAAAAAACACTAATATTAATAATCACTAATGTATTAATAAAAATTGATGGAATAAACGAAGTCGATGAACTCGAACTGACTTGTGACCTTGCTTACATGTTACACCCACAACTGATATCCCACGCGCCGAAAATTCTCTACGTTCATTCTTATAATCGAAGCTGAGGGCGCGTTCGTTTCCATGGCCACGAGCATTGACCTTGCTGTGATACGTGATCGTCTTATGGCTGAACTTGTAAAACTTGAATCAAAAGAAAATATTTGAGAATATTTTCACAAGATTTCTAGTTTTACTTTTATGAAACTTATTGGGCGCTTCGGATTGTTTTGTATATTTCTTTTTCATGTAATCAATCTAATTTTAAATACTCACTGATAAATTATTAAACTGACCTTGGAACAATTTTAATTAATTAAATTAAATCACAGTAATTCAAACTCCTTATCATCGTACATTAATTCAGATATTAAGTTCTTCTTAGACATATCATACATAAGCGAGAGAAGCACTTTCTGCCTCCTCCCCCCTCCCTCAGAGAAGGAATAAGGCAAGTCCAACCATAATAAATATTACATTAGATAAGAAATTAAAGTCAACAATACCATAGACCTGCATGATTTTGTTCTTAATCAACTGAGAATCATTTTCAAAGTAACTTTTTGAGTAAAATTCTTATTTTATATAAAATTTTTTTTTATATTTGAAGTTCTATAATATCATGGAAAAGATTTTTTTCTGTAAATGGAGAGAACTAACTAAAAAGGCCAACTCTAACTCTTTACAATCCATTGTTTAGATTTGAGATATCTTTTTATTTTTGAATCGAGATATCGTTGATTAAAGTCAAGAATTTTAGTAGTTTCGAAACGGATACGCATATACAACATACGCAAAAATACTTGACTTCAATCAAGAATATCTCGATTAAAGAAATATATTTCAACATTTTTTTCACGATATTACAGATTATCAAATATACCAAAAAACTGCCTTTTTCGCCTCTTTAAGTTAGCATATCTAAAAAACCGGTGTATTTTTCAAAATTGTTTTAACCTATTTCATCCGCAAGGTGGCCTGGAATAGTATATTTGTGATTTCAAATAAAATTTTCTTGCAAAATTAGAATAGTCATAGATAGAATATACACTACTGAAATAGTACATTACGATACAAGTGCACAAAGTAGGTGATTCCCGCACGCGCGAGGGTTACCGACCGAGCGAAGCGAGGTCGGTAACGCGCGTGCATGATCGCCTACTTTTCGCACGCGTATCGTATACTATTTTCTCGTACGAGATGCGAAAAGTTCGATTATACTTTGAATTTGTGAGATGGGTGGAAAAAGAAGGTTTTATAATTAAGGAATAAATGTGGAAAAACACGCAAAACATTTTTTTTCCCCATTGACAATATAGATAGCGAAAAATATTGGGAAAACGAAGTCCTTTCCCACTCCACGCAACTCATTTTTAAAAATGAAAATTCAAAAACTATGTTCTTGAGGTCCGACGGAAAACATTCTGCCAGTACAAATTTGGCAGTTGTCCTTTCGCGTTTGTCCTTTCTAGTTCCTTTCAATTCAACAAAAATGTCTAAACAAAAGGTGCTACAGAAATAAATTTGGCAAATACAATAGATTTAAATAAACATTAAATTTAAAAACATTTAAATTACATTAAATTTTTATAACTGTAATGTAATCATAAATATGTCTGGAGATAAAAAATAAAATTGATCTTTCCTAGATTTTTTTCATTGGAGAAAATTTATCTTCCTTAATTACAGTAACTGGCGAAAATTTGTCTTCGCCAATTACAGTAATCGGGAAAAATGTATCTTCCCCAGTATTCCCTCGTTAAACTTTGTAGGCATTGACGCATTTTTTCCGTGCGCAAAGTATTTCCCCCACGCAGTTAGCGTGCGCAAAGTATTTCCCCGTGCGGGAATGGGTTTGCGCATGCGCAGTTCCGTGTTACGATAAGCGTACGGGAATCAAGGGTTTTGCACACGGAAAAGCGTGCGCAAAATCGAACTTTGCGCACGCTGTGCGAGAAAAAATAAAAAGAACAGAAATAATTTCCTAATTTTTCGACGATTTTGGAAGGGTCGTGTTTATGAAAAATGATAGTTTTCAGATGAAAAAAAGTATTTGAAAGTTTGAAGTTTCTCGTTTCAGGATTTCTCAGTAAAAATTTTTCACTAGCTGTAGTTAGTGCTCAACTCTAAGAAAACGAGCGAGAAAAAAATTGGGCAAATATTTTTTTTTTTTGTACACGGACTTCGGAAAATTTTTTTCGTTCAAACAAACTTAAATTTGAATCAACTTATTTATTCAGCATCAATTTTATTTATTCCTCATCTCTCTATGCCCATTTGTCACTGAGATATCGAACTTTGAATGAAAATTGATCTTTTTTCCTTTAATCGTCAATATTTCAGCAACCAATAATCGTACAGCAAATAAAGGAGCGCTACTAAAAACTAAAATAAATTCCCTACAAAATCTATTCATTGGTTATTGAAAACAAATGTTTTTCAATCTTTGATATCAATTTGAAAAAAGTACGAAAAAATGGCTTTTTAGGTTATTTTAGAAAACCTGCCTCAACCTGGTAGTTTTCATAAATGTCAATAATGAATGATAATTAAAAAAAAAGTTTTTTTTTGTCGATAATTTGTCGTCGAACAATTATCAAAACTCGAAAAAAGAAGAAAACAATGTTTAGAAATAATAGATTTTTTAAGGAATTGATTCTAATTTTTAGTGCTGCTCCTTTATTTGCTATGCTATTATTGGTTGCTTAGATGATGGCAATTGAAGGGAAAACAACATTTTTCATTCAAAGTTCAAGATCTCAGTAACAAATGGGCATAGAGAGATGAGAAAAAAACAAAATTAATGCTGAATAAATAAGTTAACTCAAATTTAAGTTTGTTTGAACTGGAAAAATTTTCCGATGTTCGTGTACACAAAAAAAAAACAAATATTTTCCAAATTTGGTTCCTGCTCTTTTTTTTAGAGTTGAGCACTAACCACAACAAATGAAAAATTTTTACTAAGAAATCCTTAAACTAGAAACTTCAAGCTTTAAAATACTTTTTTTCATCTGGAAACTCATTTCTCATAAATACGGCTCTTCCAAAATCGCCGAAAAATTTAGAAATATTTTCTGTTCCTTTTATTTTTTTTTTAACAGTGTACATTCTATCTATCTATTTCAAATTCATTTGAAATTCATTTGCAAGAAAATTTTATGTGAAATCACAAAAATACTATTCCAGGCCACCTATTCAAACGAAAGGATTTCGGATCCTGATTATCTATTATCGTATTAATTATTATCAAGCATATTAAAATGTTCTTTCTTACCATTGGGATTGGTGACCAAGCGAATCTTATTTGATATATAAATACAAGATAACAATTTGCAAGATAACACAAGGTTCTGTTATGAAAAATTACGATCGTCTTATTATGTTTCAAATAAAATGAAAAATTACGTATCGATGCTTATCAATTAATGCAGTTTTAACATGTGACTGCCAATTACAAATTTTCCTTGATTTAACTATAATTCATACAAAAATTTTCGTTCTATTTATAAGCACTTTATAGCACTCGTATTTATGAAATGTTGATATGAAAAGTCATAGTAATTACCTTAACTTTTATTCTATGTTCCATGTATTGGTACAGAGCAGATAAAGGACCAAAACATTTTGCCATTCGGTCAATGATATTCTTTTCAGAGCATTTCTTTTTTCTTTCAACTAGAATTGATCGAGTAGAATCTGAAAATATGTGATTTAAAAATTAAAAATGTAGTTGTTATGAAGATTTCTATTCCTTAAATTTAAGGGGATGTTATGAAATACTATTAACAATACGAATTAAGGGAAACAATAAAAAAAGTTCATAATAACGCATGAAAAACGGCAATTTTCGAAAAGAAAATAAGTATATAAAAAAAGAAATTTAATATCAAGGTGAAATAAAACAAGACAAATGTTTTAAATATTATAATTTGAAATATATAAAAGCGAATTATCCATTAGTAATAATAATTGTTATCATTCATAGAGGATTCTCTTTTTTTTTATTAACTAAAAAATTTGGGTTGGGTTGATAATTGAACGACTTTTAGAATCTACTTCTAAAATTGAAAAAATTCTGAACGTGATGAATTTTTGTCATTAAGTTGTTGACAAAATTATCTTGGTGAAAATAATAGAGTAATATCTAATATTTTTATTTTATAATAAAATGACAGAAATACTTCAAATTCCATTCAATCTAATTTTCTATAGAAATAAAATATTGAATGACATTTAAAAATATTCAAGTTGAATCAGAGTTATTTAAATTTAATCAATCATTTAGATTAATATATTTATATCTATTGGACATGTTTGTTAATGACGTTATATATTTTCGAAAACTTATGACAAATCCATAATTTGATGTATATCATTTTATAAAGAAATCATATCTCTTGATAATCGATATCTTTTATACTTAATAAGAATAAACACATACTAAAAATTATATCGTTCAAATTCTAGTGAATTAGATTAAATTCCGAAAATAAATTTTCTAAGAATTCGAAAAATTTTAAAAGTAGTTTGAACATTTGTATTTTTTAATTTTTTTCCATTATTGTTACAATAAAAAGTTATAAGAAGTACTGTGATGCTGACTAATTAATTAACTTTTTTTTATTTCCGATTAATGCAATTTCAAAATATGGCTTATTTTTTATGGTAACAGAATATTTTCGGGTGAAAGTGAACGTTCTCTAAGTCTTGTTGTACTCATGTACAGATGATCCCCCAGTTGAGAATCGTGCAAAGTTCAACGTCCTTACGGGCAGCGCACTCAAGCCGCAAGCAAGCATTATTCCTCTACATGTATTGGGTCTATCTTCCTCTCTCAGTCTTGGGTTTTTATCTTTTATTTTCTCTTTTCTCTTTCTTTTTCCTTCTTTCCTTTTATTCGACTTACTATCTTTCTTCATGGAAGAGCACGAAGCACACACTCTTCTGCTCTTCTTTTTCACTTATCGCATATGTATATATGTACTCTTTATTAGTTATTATGTACAGTTACATGACAAGATCTTAGTTTGTTTTTATAATGCAAAAATGGAAACAATTCATTTTTGCAATATAAGCCATGCAAATTACATACAGTAATTCTTAGATCCTCGTGGAAATCAATTATTTAATTATTTCACGGTGGCTCAGTAGGTAAGAACTCAGGTCTCTGCAAGAGATTACGGATTTGAACTCAAGGCATGTGAAAATATTTAGAAATGAAAATTTCACATTCCTGTTACCGTAATTGTGGCTGTTTGGATTTCACCTTTTATTGTATGAATCCCCAAAATAATCCATATACAAATTTTCTCCTATGCCCAAAAAGTGGTGGGGAGGCTGCTTCATACAGATACCTAGTGCACCTCTGTATAGCGATAAAAATAAACGTAATGCTCAAAGGAATAACAATAATAATAAAAGAGCAATTTTAAGTATCAACGGGAGAAACGAGAATGAGCAGTAATATAGTGAGGCTACAACACACACACACACACACACACACACACACACACACACACACACACACACACACACACACACACACACACACACACACACACACACACACACACACACACACACACACACACACACACACACACACACACACACACACACACGCGCGCGCGCGCGCGCGCGCGCGTTATTCTATTGACTACTATATTAATATAATACCACATTAATATAATAACAGTAAATTCAACTGTAAGTAACTACAGTTTTTCGAATTTGACAACAGCAGCAAAGGTCAATCACTGTATGTATATCGATCGATTAAGAGATATTTTATAAACATGCAGTTCAAGTATAAATTGCTGGAAAAAATCAATAAAATCTCTACATATTATAACTTATATTTCTTAACGATTTTAAAACTATCAATATTCTATGTATGGCTTAAAATTATACGCTCATAAAAACGCAGTCGATTCATTTGCAATAAGTTTCCCATCAAAGATTTCTTGAGTCAATGTAGTAACTTTTGAGTTTATTTGACGGGATCCCGAATAACTTACAAAAATAATTACTCAAATGTTATCAGATTAGCTATTTATAATCGTAGTATTGAAATCTAAGAATTGCTAGAACCGTATTGTGATTAAAATAATAAACAAAAGAAATTTTAGTGAATATCGATATATCAGAATTTGGTGGTTTTCATTAGACTTCCCGTTTTTTTGGTTTAATGGTAAACAGGATTCCTTCAGTTTCTAGATTCCTTTACTGTATATATTACAAGCTAGTTTACTTATATTTGAACAATATTTCTAGTTTTCGAATTATCAATTCAATCATCTTATTGAAATATTGTACCCAATTACATAAAAATTAGTTTAAAACAATTAGTTTTTAACCGACAATACATTTCTAACAATATAAGTTAATAATTGGTAAGTAAAAAATGAAATTAGTATAAAGTGAATCTTGTTCTTAACAATATAGATTTTTACATAGAAAGTACTCTTATCTAGTTACATTCCTTGAAAATATACTTGACCTGATTTAAACGAGACGCGATCGAACAGTCCGTCAGTTATGTCCCACGTATCACTCATATCTTTGTAGAGTATCATTCTAATTTCTCCAATTTATAGTTAGATTTCGCGAGAGCGTTTTTGCGACTTGCTTCGCCTCGAGTTTTACATTGGAATATTGTATTTTTCTATATTTCATTATTACTACGCTTGTTATTAAAAGAAATTATTAGTAATGATTTTTTAATAGAAGAGTTATGCTTTAATGCACTTTTAAAGTTATATTATACATAGAAACTGCTTTATGAACAATACTCGCGGTCTTTCTCAATTCCCGAGTTCCATATCCTAAATCTCAACTTTACGGTTTCTGCATGTAAAATTTTGTCTAGTTTAAAAAAGGAAGTTATACTTGAACTGAGGGCTCACTAGAGAATTTTTCTTGCTCGTAGCTAGTAAAATTCAAGCTTGAACATGTAAAAATTCAATCCGATTAGTGTTATATAATACTCAATAGTAGTGATTATGGTTTATATTAGTATTATTGATAAATTTAACATCGTGTTTTTTTATGATCTCGTTAAAAACATTCGTAAATATTCTTGAAATTTAATGGGTATAATATTCTGATAATTAGATACCGAGACCTACATAACTCTTAAATTATAATGTACAAAAAAAATAAAAATATATATTTTTTCAATTTATTCTATTCAATTTTTATCTCTTGTAACAAAATTTTAAGACATATCAATATCTGTGTATTTTAAGACATATCAATAAGTGTGCTATATAAATTTACTATAAATAGAAAATATTTAGTTCACAATTGATAGTTAAAGGTCAATTTGCATGTTACAATTAAAAGAAAGTTTAATACTGGTGCTTTGAACGCCAAAATCAAATTATAAATTTTATATTATTGAGTGCATGCAACAATGAACTTAATATGAAAATAGTTGCTTTAGATATCTGCAACCTTGAGAGGTGTGTGCGAAGTATAACGATACAAATAAATTAAAACTTCCATACTCAAATAATTTGAATATTTTACCTTGAGAAATAAATGATCTTGAAGTCGATTTTATTTCCACACCCTTCTGCATATCTCTGTCAATTATCTGTTAAATAAAAAACAATTGAAAATAGCAGCCAAATGGTTGCTCAATATAAACTTTGTTAGAAAAAATCTGTTTATATCTCAAATCGCTCTATATTTTAATTATTACAATATGCTCAATTATTTATTTTCATCTATATTATATTGGTATTTTCATTACATAATCTTACCTTACAGAGGAGACATCAGCAAAATGTCAATAAAATGCTAAGCAGTTATTGGATTTATTTTATGTAAGAATTGACCCTCAGCGTTATTTTTTATTTTTACAAACTTAATTTTTAACGCTTTTGATTATTGTTTCTAGCTATCATTATGACAGTATGGTTTATAATTCATGTACAAAGAGTTTTCAGGAAATCTTGCTTAGATTTCAATTATCTTGGTATTTACTTAGAAAATTTGACTTTAAGACCGTTAGGGAAATATACTATTCAAGTATATGTGGAAGTATCAGTATACAATACGTAAATACAGTTTAGACTATTTGAATATGGAGTTTTCAAAGCATCATTACACCCGAATTAGTATAATTAAATTATTCTAAGACTAGCAACACATGAAAGTTAGTAAAATATACCTTCGCAGTAAGACCTTTCAAACAAAAGGTTTCAAATTTGCTGATATTATCAAATATTGGTGCTTCCGCATCTGGAACTTTTAGTCCATCCGTATAGAATGCTTTCAATGGATCAAACTTTGAACTAAAAACATCAGTACTATCTTCAGAAGTATCTTCGTTTTCCTCAGCCATTTTGGCAATTTCTTTAAATAAGGTTATATTGAGAACTTGGTACTTTAAGTAACTTCATAACGGAGTTATATTTACATGTGTTACACATAATGAACTATGTATTACTGACATTTCAATTTAATAGTGTAAAAAACTAGAATAATTAACAATAATCGGCTAACAAAAAGGTGTAGCGAAAGCACGTGTTGCCGCACGTACCATAACAGAGCAGCAAGAGCGAGAATGAATATAGAAAGAAACAGAAAGAAAAAGAGATAGAGATATACAGACGAACAGATAACTGAGAGCGCACGCGCATCAAATAGTACAGAGGTGGGAAATAGGAGAGGTAGCTGAAAAGAGGATGTTAACCTCGGCGAGTAAACGCGGATACTTACTCTGAAAGTAAACTTTCTTTCTCCGAGCATTCTCCTCGCTCGATTACATAAAATGCTTGTGACTACAGGCATGCAATACCACCGATGCTAGTGAGCGTATACACAAGTGAGGAGAGCTAGCGCAGTTGAGAGCAGGTTATACGCTCAGGAAGTGTACTTGCTACAAGATATGCTATTGAAAGAAAGTTTTCGCTTAAACTCATATATGACTATCAGCATTTGAGCACTGTCACTTTTCGCTTTCATATATGGTCGTTTTTATCCGTCCCATTATAACTGTCATCGTAATTATGAAAAAAATATAACAGTAATATTAATAATTGGAATTATTATTATTTCCGCTGATACTCAAATAGTTAAAAATCAATAACCTAATAATTTCTTCAATTATATTCAAGGTTTCAATATTTTGGCAATGAATAAAATTACTTATTCATACAAATCTACGATATTAATTTAAATTTAAATATCCCTGCCAATTGCCATAGCCGAGTGTTTCGTTGAATAGAGTTAAGAATTATGCGTTCTGTTTTCCCCGCGATTTATTAATTATTTAATTCAAAATCTGTTACAAAATGAATTTAGTAAATAAATCCATAAACTAACAGTATTTAAAAGCTGTTCATGATTTATCATGAGAATTTGCTAAAATGTAATATGAAAATATAAAATTCGTATAACAAAGAAAAACTAATGTGTGCCAAATAAAATTATGCCACATAGATATTACTTGAATAAGCTCACAAGCGTCCGCACGCACACACATGCATTACACACAAACACGCGCACACGTCGTGCGCGTCTGGTTTCAGCAATCTATAAAGCAAACAAGAGCGACAACAAGACACAAATGATTTTGTGGATTTCTCATTCATTCGAGTGAAATAATATAACACAATAATTATTAAAAAGAGATATAACTTAAATTTAGCAGGAGGAAAAATCGTGGAAAGAAAAAAATTAAAACGAAATAGAGTCAAATTTTGAGAACCGCGAAAACAATGCTTCTTTTGAAAAAAAAAATGTTAATATGAATGAGATCTAGGCTGCTAATTAATTATATTTATGATTGTTTTTTTTAAAATTATTATATTGTTTATATGAATCACCGAGCATCTTTAAAAAACTATTATTCTTGTGTGATTACAGCATTTTGAAGCGTTTTTTAAGTCAGTATATTTCCAACGGACAAAGGAGCCGGTTTCACTGGCTCATCGGTACTTTTGGATGTTAAGAGGTGCGGGGGTGGCTAAAAGAGCCCCGCCGCAGGCTACGGCTCCCGATGCCGGTCCCTATATCACAAACGCTGTCACTCACTTCTACTCTTGTACCCAAAGAAGAGTCGAATATGCCCTTTATAGATGACGAGTTACTTTGGTGTCCTGATAATGACGGGAAAATGGTTGATCTTACTCAGTGTCTGCAGGTTCGTATTTTTTTTAATTGTCTAATGTATCCAAATTCAATTCAGTGTTCACAAGAAAAAGTAAATTACTACGGACGTAAACTAATACTACTTAACAAAGTAAGTTTATATTTAAATACTTATATATTAAAGAATCAGAATTTTCCAATTTTTAATTTTTTTTTAATTATTTTTTAATCGAAGACATCACGACGATTTTTTTGCCTAATTGACACCTTTAATTTAAATTGATACATAATTTTTAAGACTACGCGTTGCTTGTGAAGCATATCATTTTTTAGTTGCCATGCTAATTTGAAAAATACGACCTATGAATATTTTAATTAAAAATGTTTTTCTACGGTTGTCATACAGAAATTTATAAAAAAAAAGTAGTTTTTTGAAACTGTTTTAAAATTTCTAAGTTTTATTTGAAGAACATAATCTCGAATTTACGTATTTTTAATTTTAATGTATTATATAAAATATAGTAATGTTCGTGTAAAGTAATTCAAATGTAAGAAATTATTTGTGTTGCAAATTACTGTTAATTAAACTTGTTTTTCCAAATTATTTTCGTCTGATCAGTAGTAATGTAATCTTTTTAAAGTATGATTACTTTTGAACATTAATTTGTAAGGGCGTTTAATACAACGGAGGATAAAGAGAAGTTAAGGCGCAATGTTTTACAATATAAAAAAAAAAAGACAAAATTACAGTCTTCAAATATATTAAGTGTTTTCGATCTAGTTTTAATGTGAGATGAAAATTCATTTCTATTAAAAAATATTTTAATAATTTAAAATCGAAAAGCGGGTATTTTAACGTCGATTTTTCCTAAATATAAAGTTTTCTATATTATATTTCAAACGATCTGTGTTTGTATTGTGACGGTAATCGTCAAGTTAGCGCTAATCATTTAACCTTATTGTTGTCCGTGAGGGCAGCACCTCCCAGGGGGGACAAAAACATGTAACGAAGGAATTCGGCACGCGAGCAGACGGAACGCGCGCGACAAGATTCGAACTAGTGAAGCATCAACCTTTGTTGTGTCCGCCCGTTTCGCTATCGTATCGCCGCTGATCCACGTGCCTTCGCTGACCGTACATCAGATCGACGAGAGGACCACAGCAGATACAGCCGTGATAACCGCCACCCAGGAGCCAGACGTCCGATCACCTGAGGCCAGGACGAGTGAACGAGTGTGTGTATGAGGTTTCGCCATCGAGGGCGAAACCATAACGTGCGCGCGTTCGCGACCGGCAACAAAAACAATACAATTAACTGTTCCGTGCTGTGCAACCCGTCATAGTGTTCTCCGGTCGCAGATAAGTAAGGTAAGCTGGCCAGCTTAATTACGCGTTCGGAATTACATGAATGAATAATAACTCGATGCTAACATTCGATGCGTGTATATAACGGCTCTAGCGACAAAGAGCAGCGAGCGTACCGGCAAAGCGTGTTGCCGATGAGCGAGCGTGTATGTAAACAAACGCGCGGGCCGACCTTTTGTGAGTTTTGAGGAAACAATAAAAGATCTGATTTAGCTTACTAACAAGTGTTTTCGTTAATTCTCTCATTTCTCATAGCTTCTACTCAATTCCGAATAGGTTATTAATGATTACAGGTTGACTGAGGCATACTTTCTCGTGCTCCCCGAATTCGTATTGAGCATTGATAGATACGCGTGTCCTTTCGAATATAATTACGCGATTTAATTAATTAAACGGTTATACCCCGTTACAGTATTTTTAAATGGAAATCTGAATCTGACGGCCAAAATGCTCTATTATTCTTTTGTTTTGTGTTGGAAAAATAAGCTATTCATTAATCCTTCTTCATGGAATTTTTTAAGCATAATATTAAACGTAACAAAATATTTATCTACGGTTGTCGTGAATAAAGAATTATCATTTATTTAAATAATGGCTATACTCGTATTTAAAAATTGTTACTGAATTTTTATTTTATAATATTAATACCTCACGGTGTGTTTTAAAAAAATTTAATCAAATGGAAAACACCTATGGATCTTATTCCTGAATACGATTGTAGGATCGTTTAGAAAACTACTCCAAGTAAAATCAAAATCTAGAATTCAGACGTTTTTTTTTTGCTAATTTAAAGTTTTTATTGACATTTTATAGAATTTACCCGTATATGACGTTTTAATGTCCGAGTAACAAGTGGTTATAGTTTTGTAAATATATTATTTTATAAATAAATTATATATTACAGAAATACGATACGTGATGAAATACTGCATGAGCTTTAAAAGTAACACTAATATTCAAATCTAAATAACTTTGACGAAATTCATTTATTGTATAATAAAATCTGGATCTAACTTTTCAGAAAACTACGAATATGACAAAATCGAAAATCAGCAAAACATTTAACGTATTTCAAATAATTAATATTATAATTTCTACGAAGAACATCTATTTTTTTAAGTCTTACAAGAATTTCCTGCGAAAGCAGGTTTACTATAAGTTATTTTTCTTAGAACATTACAATCTTGAGCCTACTTCTTACTATCTTCTTAGAACTCTAAAGATATGTGTTTGTATATTGTATTAACTATACCAATCAGTTTTAGTCCCATACTGAACCTATTTTTTTTCTTTTTTTGGCATAATAAACATAATTATGTTCGATTTTCTTCGTCGATATACAGTGTCGCTCACGCACTTTTACCCCCCCACGGGCAAAATCAGTCTAACTTCAAAGTTTTATATCTCTGGTAGAAATTAACGTACAGAGACGCGCGTGGGTGCGTTTGAAAGGTCTTTCGGAGAGCTTTCAAATGATATGACTCACGGTTGCCATCGATTGTTTTTTTAAATTTTGCAACAATTATGCAAAATTGAAAATTCTGAAATTTTTTTATTATTTTTGACAATTAGCCAATTTTGGAAAAAAAATCGTACGAAAATTTGAAGTACACCATTTTTTAGCTATTACCAAGCCCTATCTGAATCACTCATCAAAAATTTATTTTCGTCAAATATGACGCGCGCACGGGCATTTTTTCCTGGAAGTGACAGTTTTTTTCAGCATTTTTTATCTCCGTCAAATTGTAACAATCGAAAAAAATTTATAGGAGAAAAAATGTTTATTTTTTCACGTAGAATACTGCAATAATTTTTTTTTTGGTTTTTCGAAAAATTTTTTTTTTCGGTTTAAATTATTTTTCAAGGTCGAAAAAAAAAAGATTTTTTTTTTATGTAATTTACGATACTTGTTATGTAGTATTATTGAATGGGTGGAAAAAAATTTTTTTTTGTGGTTTCTCATCTTTTTAGCGTACCGACTGTGAGAAAAAAAAATTGAAAAAAACCGAAAAAAAAAATTTTTCGAAAAACCAAAAAAAAAATTATTGCAGTATTCTACGTGAAAAAACAAACATTTTTTCTCCTATAAATTTTTTTCGTTTGTTACAATTTGACGGAGATAAAAAATGCTGAAAAAAACTGTCACTTCCAGGAAAAAATGCCCGTGCGCGCGTCATATTTGACGAAAATAAATTTTTGATGAGTGATTCAGATAGGGCTTGGTAATAGCTAAAAAATGGTGTACTTCAAATTTTCGTACGATTTTTTTTCCAAAATTGGCTAATTGTCAAAAATAATAAAAAAATTTCAGAATTTTCAATTTTGCATAATTGTTGCAAAATTTAAAAAAACAATCGATGGCAACCGTGAGTCATATCATTTGAAAGCTCTCCGAAAGACCTTTCAAACGCACTCACGCGCGTCTCTGTACGTTAATTTCTACCAGAGATATAAAACTTTGAAGTTAGACTGATTTTGCCCGTGGGGGGGTAAAAGTGCGTGAGCGGCACTGTACGCATGGTATTTTTTTGCGTAACGTATCATTTTTTCACATTTGCACAAACAAAAGCACGATGAAAATCTAACTAAGCTTAGTTAAATAAATAAATTTGATAGTAATCACAGCTGAGTCTATGAATATCAGCGCTATCTATACTCTTCTACTTGGTATGCGCAAAATATAAACAAAGAGACTAAGCCGATAACATCAACCAATGGGTCTATGTACAAGTTTTCTTACTAGATTTTTATATATATACCTTTATTTTATAATAATTATTATAAATACTGTAACGGGGGGATAAACCTGCAAAATGAGAAATTTATTTAAGAGCAAACTCCCACGATGCAGAGCAAACCGCCGCTCCGTTAACACGTATGTTAATACGTGTATTCGCCTTAACGTCAGCTGACTTAACTTGGTTGTCTTCGATCAAGCGGAGTTAAACTCACCTTAAGTCACGTGCCCTGGGACACACGATGAGTTTTAAGTGTAATCGACTTTGCTCCTAATCCACTTAATCCCCTAGCTATGATCGGATTAAAACTTAAGCCTATTTCAATTGTTTAATCTATTAGGAAAAATTATATGACGAAATCGGCGAATAATTTTAATAGATTTTATTAATAAAAATGTCTACAGTCTTTATCGGGCCGAAAGACTGACGCACGCGAACAGGATTTACAATTAAATAACTTTTGGTGAGAAAAAGAGAGAGAGAGAAGATACGAAAATTGGCGCGATCTAACGCTCGACGCGAATACAAAATTATCAACGCTAACGCGGCTGAACAAAATAATAAATGTATTTTGACACGCGATAATTAAGGGAGGTGCACCTACCCTGCGGTGCAATTACGGTGATCAGCCGTAACTGTTGATGTCAGCGAAATATCAACTGCCCCTGTCCTTTGAACAATTGGCTGCGCTGCCTCACTCTGCTTATCAGCTGCAAACTGCTTCCGAAGCCTCGTACTTGCTATACTATCGCTATTACACTCACGCACGAAATTGTCCCAGGAAAACTATCACTCGGCGAGAAAAACTGTGCAAATAAAAATCGGCGATGCTCGTTCAAATACAGCTGAAGCGTAACTGCTAATTTAAAAGATCGCGTGCCCCCTCTCTCTTTCAATACTTAGAACTAACGCGCGAAAATCAGAATCGCGAACGGTTCGATTAATTGAA